CGCACATGAAAACAGTCCCAAACAAATGCACTATTTACTCCTGTTGGAGTGATGTTTGACAAAAACTGTTCTGAGAAATTATCCGGCCTTTTGTTAAAATCAAACTATGCACTTGTCTTTACAAGGAACCAGTGTTTTTGGTTATGTTTTTTTCATGGGATTTGTTGATAGTAAGACAAAATATTTTCCCTTAAAACTTAATTTTCCTCATTTTACCTTTGCGTCTCTTCGGGCCAGATCCATGTCGACTTCAGTGTTTTCAGCTCTGTTAGCTTTCAACATGGCCAGAAGGGCTGTGGTGAAGTCACCGCTGGTTTCAACCTTAATAACGTCCTCCAGGTCTGTTTTGTACTCTAAGGAATGAAGAGCATTTTAGCAAGATAACAGACTTTGCATGAATTTAATGGAACCCAGCATGCCTGCAGTGGTTATAGCTGTTGTTTATTGTCCTCATGACTGGGTGATTACAGTGCTGCGCTGTCTAGGAATTCAGTATTGTTCTACTGCTGTGTGCACTGGCGACACTAAAGAGTGTAAATACCTTAGATGTTGCATTAAATATGAAAACTTTTCAGAAACTCAGAGCTCTGCGAGTGCACCAACCAAGTAACAGAGTGACTGCACTGATTTGGGCCTAACCTTCTTTAAAGACCTTCTTCATTTCTTGAATCTCTTGGTTTGACCTTGTTGCCAAAACCTCCACCAGGACATCTTCATCTGTGCCCAGACGCTGTGGGAATAGAGCAAGTGTGACAAAATCATTTAAAGGCACTCTTTAAACATAATTACAAACTAAACACTATACAAGCATTCAAAATATTAGGTATACAACTAATATCTACAGAAAAATATGCTATTAACTGTATTCAGTGTACTTTGTCATTATTGTCATTATTCATTCTGATCATTCTGATCAGACTCGTGACCAGAAGGCTGGTTCCATCCCCAGATTGGCAGAATAAATCTGGCAGGAAAGTACTGTTAGCCTCTATGCCATCATTCCCCTTTAAGGAGCCCTTGAGCAAGGCACTTAACCACTACAGGGCAGCTGCTCAGCAGCCAACAGATCAGACTGAGACTGGAATAAAAAAGCAGCTTCCAGGTGTAAGTGTGTGTAACTGCTGCTGAAACCCCCCTGCAGACGGTCAGCTTTCTTTAATAAATGATGTGGTGACAGTGAGCAGGGGTTCATCTCATTTTTACTTGGTCTCATTCTCTACTGATGTAGAAAAGAAGGCAAGCAGGAAAAATCTCTGAATGTAAAAACACTCAAACCTGTAGATAAAGAAAATATTGGACCTTGGACAGGCCAAATCAGAGAGGGACTCCCCGCCAGCATGAGAGTGACATTAGGAAATACAGATAGATATTTACCTTTGTGGCCTTCCTGAGCAGGTGGGCATCAAAGTGAGGGGGCGCCATGAGCAGAGCCAGAGAGACGTCCTCTAAATGTGACCTGAGAGCTGCCTTCAGGGATTTATTCAGGCTCTGCAACACAGAATAAGATTAGCTTTGATTCTCACATGTGCCACAGGCCCTTTTTTGATACTTCCACTAGGGTGTGTCAAAGTTGGAAATGTTTGAAATTCCACACATAGCCTCTTTAAAGGTTCACTGTGTAACATTGAGGAGGATCTATTGGCAAGTTTACAAACTAGCCACCGTAACACCAGTCGTACCAGACCAAGCAAGGTTGTAGGAACAAGACCCCTCTGTGTATTGAACTGAGTAGGGCTGCGATTTCCTCCATTTCCTCTTTCAAATGTCACATAGTCTTTTAAGTGGACAGAGGCAAAACAATGTTGAAACAAACAAAGCAACTATCAAATAAAACAGCTCATACGATGTACACCCAGTGGGTTAATCTGAGGAAATAAGAAGTGCAATAGGAGCTTTAATTCTTATAAAGTGGATCTGGATTGAAGGACTTGTTTCTGTCACGACATTTGTGTT